GACAGACAGACAGACAGACAGACAGACAGATAGATAGATAGATAGATAGATAGATAGATAGATAGATAGATAGATTGTTAACTAATGAAACCTTAGTGTTACCATTCAATATAAATGCAGTATGCAATTGTATGCATTAATGTTCTGATTTAGGTCTTAATTTATAGGGTTCAATAATATTATTGCACTAATTTAATGTTTTTTTTTCTTCTTCTGTGTTGTCAAGATTGATCAAGAAACAGGGAGCCTAGGGTTGTCAGGTCAGAAAGAGGATGACACTCAAAAAAAAGAAACTTCACAGGTGAAAAGTAATAGACTGGCTTTTAAAAAAAGCTTGAATCATGCAGTGTTGTACTTGTAACATGTGTACATGATGTTTACCATATAATAAGGTAACACTTTACAATTAGATTAAAAAAGTTTGTAGACAAACGTTAAGTTTTCTTTAAAAAGCCTAACCAGAAAGTTTGAAGAAGTTTTAAAAGCATGAAGTTTGAATGTTTTCAATATGAAAGACAGTTTTGGTTACTGTAAGTAAAACAGATAGATAGATAGCTTAGATTCGGCAGTTTCAAGTAGCTTAAAATGCTGAGACATAATGTTAACTTTGTATAAATAATCTGCTGCTTTTGAAAAAAAAAGCCTAAAATGAGAAGCATAAATGTGAATGAACACTTAACTGTTTATTGTATCGTATTGTTCTACTAGTTTAAGATCTCCTTACTGTGACATGTGTCATTTCAGTTCAATACATATCTGCAAATGTGTGGTTTGAGTGACTTTTATTTCCTTCCTGAAATGTGGACTAACAATGTAGAGTGTGAATGTGAAAGTATCCATGTGTGACATTCACATACAAAACAATGTACACAAAAAATATTTTTAAAATATGTAAACAATATAGTAAAATATACAATACCATGTGCAATATAGATTACAGAACATCTGTATTCCTTTTTTTCTTTCTGTTTTATCGCTTTACACATGAATAGCATATTAAGCCAATTAAGCAATAACTGGTCTACAAAGGTCTAAAAAAAAAAAGTATAATGCTTGACATTCTGTCCCCCTCACTTTTGAAATGATTGCTACGCCCCTGAATTCATTTTTGTGAGCTTTAAAGTGTATGCGTTTCTTTCAATCTATTTTTGAGATACACAAAAAGTATGTACACTTGTTTTTGTTCTATTTTAGTATAGCCTAGTTCCCTTATGCAGAGTAGGCTATTGTCTGGCAGTCTCAACACAAGGAAAAAAGGAAATGAAAATGTGAGGAAATGAAACATGCAATTATGCAGAGGTGACTTTCGTTAAATTCTCACGTCTTTTAAGACTTTTCCATTAGACGCTTTTCAAGTTTGCATTGTATTTCCTTATGAAACTGATAACAAAATAAATGATTATGTGATATAAAAGGATCAGACACATCAGATACATTATATGTCAGTGGGTTTTCTCATTCTTTTGAACAGATTTTTTTCTTTTCTCTATCACAATGGCATTCTACTGTAATTTGTTGAGGACAAACTAGTAACCATGTAAACGAATGAACTGTAAATGTGAATTATGCTTTTTAAAGTTTGTACAGTGAATGAAAAAGTGAGAGATGAAACTCTGTTGATGAATAAAGATACATGACAAGGTTTGATCTTACATATCATAAATACTCACAGTTTAGTTTGCCACTATAAATGCTGAATCATAAATGCTATAAATGTTTAGTCTGAATAGACTCGATGTCTTTGGTTCATTAGATCATAATTTCGTTCCTTTTTTGTTTGACATTCTTCTCTTTCTCTCTTCTCCATTAGATCAATCTTTAAATCTGTGCTGGTCAATATAGGTTCTCTCCTGTGTTTATTTCTTGCCTTAATTCTGCCTTTGTATTATCTGTTATAAAAATATAAAGGTTCAATTTAGAGTTGTGAACACAGTAAAAAAATATTTTTTTGAGAAGTTGTAAATAAAACAGATTATCGGAGTATGTTTTACAAAAAACAAGAAAATACTATTTCCGTTTTTCATGTTTAATAATTCAGTGCATTATTTGCCGTTTCTTTGTAATTTGTGAAATTTACTTGCATTTTTATGGATCCAATTGCATTTCCAGTGGATTCCACTGGATCCAATTTTTTTTTTTTTCAGCAAAGTTTTTAATTAGTTGTATCATATCAATCAATAATGATTGATACAATACAGGTTTATGAAGTGTTTTATTTCACTTTGTGATGAGCAGATAAGATGGAATCCTGCGGGGCCGGTTGCGCATGTCTTAAGGAGTGTATAAACCACTTAGTATTATAGTCATTATTGTTTTTGGTCAGTCAGCCAGATAACATTTGTCTAATTTGACTGGTCAGCCTAATTGCTAGTTGTTCAGATAGTTCTAGCAGTTCTTAAGTCTTAATTTAGCAGCTACTGCATGTTTATCTGGCTTGTGGTCTACTCAAGGCATCTTGGCGTAGTCACATAAGGCTTTTAACATTAGCCACCCCACCTCAATATTTTTGACAATATTCACCTCAACTGTTTTTGATGTCACCTTTTATTGAAAATGTTTCATCTGGTGCAAGTTCAGAAGTCTCTACACACAGAATTCACTGGAACCGAACAGACCTGGATTCTGATGACTGAAACCTTCAATATAACACAGAAACAGCAGCACTGATCTGATATAATGAGCTGATTGACTTCCACATTTGACTTTAAAACTCTTCTAACTGTAATCCTGATAATGTCCTGCAGAGGGACACACTTCACTTCACTATCACAGGAGTCAACCTTAAACATGAAAAATAATAAGTGTGCGTGTGTGTGTGTGTGTGTGTTCACTGTTATAATCATGAGAGTTTTGTGCCACACCTTTAGAGGAATGACTCAGAGGAGTTCTTGAGTCTGCTGTAGTTTTCAAGGATCTCTTTTCTGTGTCAGGCATATTAGAATTAGTTCATCATTCTGTCTGAAGCTGAAGCTTTCAGTTCATTTATACACCAGTTCTTCGACATTACTGCATGAAAATCTGTTTAAGGTGTGTTGGTCTTTCCCATGGCCTCTGTCTTGTATCACATGACCATTCTTCAATGAAACCATCTTATCGCCCTGATGACTTTTCTGCTCTCTTTCGTTACGTCCTGGGGACGTATTATTATGAAAAGTGTTTTTGATTTGTATTTTACTTTGTTGTGTTTGTTGTGCTCTGTCAGTCTCTCCCTCACTCTGATTGCCTTGCAGCTAATTAGCCACACCTAAGGCTCGTGGAGAGTTGCAGAGCTGCAGAGAGCAGAGTGAACATGGCTTGAGGAGGTTCACTTCTCCCCTGCACCAGACTTGTGTTCTTGTGTATAGGAGTGATAAGCTGGTGTATTGACCTGGTCTGTGGAAGGCTTCTCTGTCTCTGTGTGTACACTTTGCTCTTAAAAGATAGCAAGGTTTGCTTATCAAGTAGTGACAAGTTCTTTAAAGATTTCTTTATAACTCTGTTCTGGTAACTAAAGGGTATTGTATAGAAATCTTTGCATTTGTATTCTTTTATTTCTTTTGGGGAACGGTAGGGAGACCGAGTCATCTTTTATTTTAGATCTCATTATTTCCTGTTTTTGGTCAGTCAGGGAGTAGAGGGAAGCACATGTTGTTAATTTATTTTTCTTTTACCTGTATTACCCAGGTGAAAAGTAAATGTATTTAAATTGTACTTATTTTGATATACTTAATGTATTTTAAGTGCACCGTATTAAATATGTATTAAATGTGCTAAATTGAAACAACTTCAAGTATATTAAGTGTACTTTAATATGTATTTAAGTTCAATTTTAAGGTAATAGTAATATATTTTATTATACTAAATTGTGCTAAAATGGAACCATTTTAAGTACATTTAATGTAATATAATAGCACTTATTTAAAGTGTATTATAATACACTTTAAATCGACTTTAGAAATACAGCATTAGTATATTTTAGCTTCACATTAATGCGTTCTAAGTATATTTTAAATATAATTTCAGCTTATTAATAATGTATTTTTTAGAACACTATAGGACCCACTATTAACATATTAAAAATATATTTTTTCCAAAAACCATTTAATATAAAAATAATATATTTTAATGTATTAAAAATACAGTTAAACATTTTAATTCAACAAAACCCAGTAAAAAAATATTTCTACAAAACACACAAAACACACAAACACTAAAGATAAACTTTAATGCACTACATCAGTAAAGCATTATGAAAACTAAACAAAATACATTAACATAAAATACATTGATTTGCAGAGGTATTAAACAGAACAAAAAATAAATAAACAAACTAACTGAAAGGAGTAGTTCACTTTTAAAAAAAAACTTTTGCTGATAATTTACTCACCCCCATGTCTTCCAAGATGTCCATGTCTTTCTTTCTTCAGTCGAAAAGAAATTAAGGTTTTTGATGAAAACATTCCAGCATTTTCTCCATATAATGGACTTCACTGGGAACCAAACGGTTCAAGGTCCAATGGCTAACAGTCAATTTGTCGTGAAAGCATGAGAATTGCTCAACTGCGAGAGTCTTGTGCTGAATGCTTGAGAGTTGGCAGCCCTGACAAATCTTTTTTCAAGTCAATTCATTCATTTCGTTTGTTGAATGAACCTAATGACTCGGAAAAAGATTTGTTAATTTTGATGAACGAGTTCGAATAGGAGAGTCATGAACATGCATAACAGAACAGAGCAAGGCGACCATTTGAGCTTATAAAACTTAAACATTGTTTTTTTTTTTTTTAAATGACCAATCGTTTCGCTTGATAAGACCCTTATTCATCGTCTGGAATCGTTTAAAGCCCTTTGAACAGTTTGCACAGAAACTGTCTTTTGGACCTTGAACCGTTTGGTTCCCAATGAAGTCCATATGGAGAAAATTCTGAAATGTTTTCATCAAAAACCTTAATTTCTTTTCAACTGAAGAAAGAATGACATGGATATCTTGGCATGGGGGCGAGTAAGTTATCAGCAAAAGTTTGTTTTTTTAAAGTGAACTAATCCTTTAAGTCAAACAAAGTGAAATACAATAGCAAAAAGTAAAGTGGCCAAATCTTGAGTAAAAAGAGAAGTTCGTGACTTGTTCAGTCTGTCATAGACTCTTTTGGGGACATCAGAACCACTGAGGGAAATCTGGAAAAAATAAAAAAAACAAGCATTAGTATAAAGTTGTTCATTTATAATTCTAATAAAAAGCTGTCACTTTGTTACTTAATTCAGAACACTTACTGAAGTATTAATGCACAAAAAGTCAGATATAATTAATATAAAAAATAGGATTTTTCTTTATCATAAAGAATTTTCTAACCATTTCTGAGGTTTCAGGAAGACACAGCTCAGATGATCTTGGGCTTGAGCTGAATGAACCTCGTTTCATGGACTCCAGGGCCTCTTTGAGAGATGATAATATCCCTGCAGCTCTACAAGAAAAAATAAAGTCGCATGTTATACAAAGTTAGGGCAGAACAAACACTAGTTTGTGTTCTTCATATATAATTTGTATTTTGTTTCAATGGTAAAACATATTTAATGAACCATTACTGTAACTTCCACCCTATTATTAAAGTAATTATTCATTATTAATAAAGACAGAACATTCTATTAAAAGTTACAAGTTGGTGACAGCTGATAACGACTTGATTAAATGTAAAAAAGCTGAATACCACACATAAAATCATATAAATCAGTCCTTCGAGAAAAACACGATTATGCGATTGCCTAATTCAATGCATAATCAGGCAAAATACATATTCATGCGGGGGACGCAATTTTTCAAATACGTGTTAATATATAATAGGTCACTTAGCTACTTAGCTGCTACATGACACACTATTGACTGTTTTTGTTGTTTTTCACCAACAAAAAGTTACAAATCAAGAGGATCAACTACTACTTACTCGACTTGACCTCATCTACTCACAGGTTTAATAAAAAAAAATGTCTTCCCAGATAGCAAACTGACATTGAATCAACGTGGAAATATGACATCGAAACAACGTTGATCTGACATTGTTTTGCTCATCGAATTAACGTTGAACCAACGTCAGATGCGTCATTCTTTCAAAACTAACGGAAAATCAACTTGAAATCAACGCGTTGTTTCAACGTTATGAAAGCAAACCAATTTTCGATTTCATTTAGCTTTGAAGAATGCCGCGTCTGACGTTGGTTCAACGTTAATTCGATGAGCAAATCAACGTTGTTTCAATGTCATGAGAGACGTCGTTTCCACGTTGATTCAATGTCAGTTTGCTGTCTGGGTTTGCAATGTGCAAATTCCTTGGCTAGGCTAAATATTAAATATAAAATATCTTATTTCATTATTTAACATCGTTTTAATTTCTCAGTGCAAGATATTTAATAATTGGTTTTGTGAGAGCTTATTGGTGATTACAACTTAATTTATTTATCGAATTGACATGAAAACTGACAGCCTACTAATAATTAATTAGATTTTACTATGAATTAAATATCACAAATGTGTAAGTTTTATTAGAGCTTAAAATATATTATAATATTTAAAACACAAGAAGTTACTTGGGGACAATCAAGCCTGTCGTGTAATCACCAGTAATAACCTTTTTTTCTTCAAACACAGTGTGCAATGTTTTTATAGTTGTTTTATGTCATTGTCTAGATCTATAACAATTAAGTTGATAAACGTCAATGGATAGACGTACGTTAACTCGCTTTAGTGTCAAATCAACAGAAACGCCAGTAAACCACAGAACATCGTCATCAACTTCTGAAAATATTTTCTAAACCCAAAGTGAGAATACAGCCAATTATACTAATCACTTAAATGAATAAACTTACCACCAAGAAGTAAGATCTTTTCTGGCAGTATCTTGCTCTGTCCATGTCGTGGCGGCGCACCTCTGCGTTGTCCTCTTCACTGCTAAATTGTTCGCGGGAGCTGACGACCTGGTAATCTGCTCGTGTGTTCTCTTAATATTAGATCGGTGCTATCCACACTCACTAGGTCCGAGTCAGTGAAATAACAAAGCAAAATTTGGAAAATACATGATTTCTGTTGAAATATCCGAAGCTATAATGGAATATATACCACGGCACAGACAGTCAGTATCCGTTGTCCGCGCCCCGCCCAACATGTAAGTTCAAATGGCAGTGTGTGATTGGACAATTGCCGGCAAGCTTGTTTTGAAAAGATTGGCTCTGATTGGTCCAAATGAATGCAACTGGAAATACTAACTAACTAACGGCCACAAAAAAAGAAACAACTCTGTTAATATAAACATAACATGCTTTATAAACAGGTTTTTTATTCATTTTGGATAAACAAATGTAAGAGTCAAGCTTTTAACAAATTTATTTTGTTTTTCTAGTATGTACACCTGATCTTTTATGTTGATGTGTGCAAGTACTGGTATTCACTTGTTTTGTGGAAAAGACTATTTGATTAATTAATGCAGAAGTATAGAAGTGCATTACTTGTAATTTTTAAACTTTATATATATGTCTCATTTGTTTTTCACAATATTTTTTTAAAGCAGGGCTGAAGCACATGCTACAGTATAACATAAATATTAAAAATATATTGCTCTAGTCCTCTACAAGGTTAAATAAATTATAAGGTTACAAATTGCTATACACACAAAGTAAACACAAAAAAATACTTTAATTTAGCAACAAGTATGCTTTCTGTAAATACACTAAAATTTCACTAAAACTATGTTTGTTTTTAGCATATTTCTAAAAGTGTAATTAAGTGTATATTTATTAGCATTGCGTCTCTAGTAAAACATTTTTAAATATAATTAAAATATGTTTGTATTTAGCATATTTCTTAAAAATGTAATTAAATACCAATGTACTTCTAGTACACTTTTTAGAAACATATTTAAAGCATGATTGTCATTAGCATATTTATTAAAAATATAATTAAGCATACATTTATTACCAATGTACTAATAATATACTTTTTAGAAATACATTAAAAGTATGCTTTTCTATAGTGTATTTCTTAAAAGTGTATTTAAACATATATTTATTACCAATGTAATTCTAATATACTTTTTAGAAATACATTTAAAGTATAATTATCATTAGCATATTTATTAAAAATATAATAAAGCATACATTTATTACCAATATATTACTAATATACTTTTTATAAATACATTAAAAGTATGCTTTTCTATAGTACATTTCTTAAAAGTGTAATTAAATATATATTTATTACCAATGTACTTCTAGTATACTTTTTAGAAATATACTAAAATGCAATAAAATACATTTTTAGTACACTTTAAATAAGCATGTTGTAAATACAAATGTATTATAAACACACTATTTGTATTTCAAATATATTTTTAATACATTTAATACAACGTCTTTTTCACCTGGGATATGTTAAATCAAAAATGCAAGATGCAATTAAGGAAGTTGAAAAATGGACAAATAAATGGGGATTTAAATTATCAGTGTCTAAAACACAAGTAATATGTTTTTCAAAAAAGAACAAGATCTCCCCTGTATCATTAAAATTGTATTCTCAACCTCTTGAGCAAGTGAAGGTTATAACATTTGATGAAAAATTGACATGGAAGATTCATTTGGAAAAAATGATTAATAAATGTAAAAAGATTATTAATATCCTACGATGTCTATCAGGACAAACATGGGGAGCAAGCAGGGCATCGTTACTAAATATATATTGGGCACTAATGAGATCTGTCTTTGATTATGGGTGTATAGCATATATGTCATCAGCAGAATCTAATGTTAAAGCATTGGATGTCATGCAAGCTCAGGCTTTAAGGATATGTAGTGGATCTTTTAAAACTTCCCCAGTGTCTTCTATGCAAGTGGAAATGGGTGAGATGCCTTTGAGCATCAGAAGGATACAACTGATGTTGGCATACTGGGTTAATGTGAGGGGACAAGTTGATAGCCACCCAGCTAAAGCTATCTTAAAAGAATGCTGGGAACACAGTAAGTCCAATTACAGAAGTTTTGGGTGGATTGGTGATGTGAAAGCTGAGAATATAGGGTTATGTAAGTTGCAGTACTGTTCAACGGTTTCAATCCCTCCTATTCCTCCATGGTTTTTCTCTATACCAGATGTAGATTTAGGCGTTCATAAGGAGATCAAAAATAAAGCAAAGGAAGTAGTAGTGAAGGATATTGTTAAGAGGTATTTGGAAATGCATTATTTTGGATATACATATATATTTACAGATGGGTCCAAGGATCCAAAGACAGGACATGCTGGGTCAGAAGTATTTATTCCAAACAGTGGGGTTAAATGTCAAGAAAGAATAACAGATAATTTATCAGTATATACAACAGAACTGGTTGCAATTTTGTTGGCCCTGGAAGTGGTAGAGGGAAATGAGTTAAATAATTCACTGATAGTTATTCAGCTTTAGAAAGCATTGAATCTGGGAAATCCATAAGAAATGATGTATTTCATAAAATTTGGATGATTTTACACAAGTTAAATGCAAAGAATTTAAAATGTTTCTCTGGGTACCTGCACATGTTGGAGTGAAAGGGAATGAAGAGGTCGATAAACTTGCAAAACAAACACTGAAACATAATAGAATATTACAAGTTCCATATAGCAAAACTGAAGCTAAAATATTAATTAAAGCTTATGCAAGATCAAAATGGCAGGAGTATTGGGTGGATCATGATAAAGGGAGACATTTATAATATACAACCAGAAGTGGGTATAGGAAGAATAGAGTGTAGGAGTAGAAGAGAGGGAAGTATAGCTAATAACACGATTAAGAATAGGACACACAGGGCTTAATTCAGCATTGAAATTAATAGGGAAACATTCAACAGGGAAATGCCAACATTGTACTCATTTAGAAACTGTGGAGCATATTTTATTTCAGTGCACAAAGCAGTGAAGAAAGAAACCAGCTTTTTCAATCTCTTAGAATGGTTAATCAGAATAATTTCACAATGCACTGTTTATTAGGGAAAACATCCTGCAACAATTATCAATTTGTTATTAAGTTTCTGAGAGATACAGACTTAGCAAAAAGGATATCATTTTTTTTTTTTAAAGTTCCAATATCTCCTGATTCACACTCCAGCCCAGTCGGTGGCGGTAAATGCACCGTTAAGTTGGTTTGCCAACCGCCAAAAAAAAAAGAAGAAGAAGAAGAAGGAGAAGAAGAGAAAGTGAAAGAAACTTTCAATCTGCGTTAGTTCCGTTAGTTCTCTAAAAATAGGATGAAGTACCCCAGTATTATGGATAACAAATCGTTGTGCTTTTCTGGGATGCTTGTCTACTTAAGGTAAATGATCTGTTTCTTGTGTTAATACTTTGTGTATTCAATATGGTATAATAATGCGGGAAAAAATTCCAATCGCTAAAGCATGTTAGCATACAGCTAATGACTGTTAAAGTGTTTGGACACATATTATATTCACCAGTTTAATGTTTTTAATTTATTTAATATGTTACATGGACTGATTATATAATATTTTACACAGGTGTTTTTATATGTTGATAACCTCCTCGTCCACGGGAAAAGCCATTCTACATCGTCTCTGATGAATCGTGGCGTCGAGTAGGCCCGTTCATCACCGGTTTCAGTGTCTGCTAAACCGTTAGCTGACTGAACTTGTACAGTTGGGCCTGACGTTCGTGGCAACTGGATATCTTCTCAGGTCGTCACGGTGAGTACTACCAAGCGCTTTAAACTATTTCTGTTTTCTTTTAAAGTGAAGCGGCCAGTGTTTTCTTTTTCTGTGTGTGTTTTTTTGGCCATCACTCTCTCAAGCTTCGTTACAGTCCTGCAACAATTTATTTAGTTTAAGACTGAATGAATGAGAGACATGGGTGAGTGTGTGGGCCCACTTGATTTATTGTCACAGATGTTCTACTGATTTCTAACTGATGTCTAACTACTGTAATAATCAAATTGGGTGAATGTGAGCCTCTCCTTACAGTGGGTTATATAATAATAATGAACGTAAATTTTCAAGAAAATTATGCAAATATAAATTGAAACTGAATAAAATATCTGTGAAACTTAAAAAAAAACGGCAGGCAATTTTTTTTTACTTTGTTTTTAATACACTGCATGTTTTGCTAATTGTTTTCACATCTTTCTTTCGTTGATCTGAACTTACTACGCTACCTGACTTTTCACTTATGCATCTGAAGTCTGGTGAATGCTATGCATCTGGGGGTGGGGGCGGGGCTAGCAGCAGTGAGTTCTCATTGGCCACTGAGTTTTTGATTGGCAGCTTCTTGATCTGGAAGAGAAGACGTCAATGTTGTGTTTACATGTATGAATGAATGTAAGCATCTGTAAGCGCCGCTTTCTATTTCATTTTAGTGATAATAAGTTATGCGTTTTGTTTTACATTTTTATCTGCTGCTACTACTAGCTTTTAGGAGCGCAAGAGATCTATTCAGTCTATTCAGGTGTAATTTTCTTCTGTATATAATACTGGAAATATTGTAGCCTAGTGTCCAATGTTTTTGGAGAATATTTGTTTCTGATGATTCTTCTGCATTGTAGGCTATGATTAGGTTGAGCTGTTACAATTAAAAGAGAATACTAGTAAACATGTGTGTGATATATTATTCATCCGTCAAGAAAGTCTCACTTCAACCAGGGAATCAGGGCTGGTAACCATGGTCATCCCACTACTCATTGTTAGCATATGCATTTGCACCATCACAATTAATGATAATTTAATTAAGAGGAATTTACACAGTATGAAAATTACAATCTGGCTTGCTGTCCGATGAGACATGCCAGGGCATTTCATTATATATTTTACACAAAGAATGTTCTTGTTGCCATTTTTTTTTTATCATGCTGATAATTTTATTTAGCCTTTTCATTTAGTTAATATTATCTGCTAACATTTAAAATTAGAAATACATTTTTATCAATCATCAACAATTTCAAAAGTGACTTATAAAACCAGTTGAATAAATGTAATTGAAATATGAATGAATACAAATGTACATTCTTTATTGTCACTACAGCATATACACAAGTATCTAAGTAAAAGTCTTGCAATTGTGTTGTGACAGGAAAGAACAGAATCATTACCTGCATACAATATATGTATAATATACATTACTATACAAAATGCTCAAGAATACAGGATACATATGTAAAATACCGGAGGTACTTATGAATCGCAGAATTTTGATCTTGGTGAGTTGAATCCATTAGTGAAGCCCTATGTCAAAAACCCTAGGCTTTACTATGGATTGTGATTTTAAACTGGACAAACAGATTAACTTGGTAGTTAAATCGAGCTTTTTCCAATTGAGACAACTCGCAAAGGTGAAATCATTTCTGTCTTCCAGAGACTTTCAAAAACTCCTCCATATTTTTATCTCATCGCGTCTAGATTATTGTAATGGCCTCTATATAGGCATTAGTCAGGCCTCTCTCTCTAGACTGCAGAGGGTCCAGAATGCTGCAGCTCGCTTGCTGACGGGTACAAAAAAGCGAGAACATATTACACCTGTTCTGTAAATCACTTCATGGCCTTGCTCCTAGGTACATGACGGAACTGATTAGGCATTACGCTCCGTCTAGAGCGCTTAGGTCCGCTGACCATTTGCTTTTAGTAGTCCCACGTGTGAAACTAAAATCTAGGGGTGAAAGAGCATTTTCAGTGGCAGGACCGAAGTTGTGGAATAGGTTGCCCTTGTACATCAGGCAGTCCCAAACCATTACTATTTTTAAATCTAATCTTAAAACGTATTATTACAGTTTGGCATTTGACGCTGTGTGAGAGTTTGTTTTATTTTCTTATTGTTTTATTGTATTACTGTCTTTTATTTCTTGTATCTTGGTCATGTTGGTTTGGTCCTTATCGCATAAGTATGTATGTGTACAGCACTTTGTTAAACACTTGTTGTTTTTAAAAAAGTGCTATATAAATAAACTTTGACTTTGACTTTGATATACATTTTAAATGACGCTATGATCATTTGAATAGATCCTGTTACAGTAAAAGTAACACAGCAGTGACTGGGTGGGTACAAGGATAGTCCACCCCAAAAAAAAATCTCCTTAGCTGTGTGTATTCCCTGGTTGCTGGATGTTTTCAGTCATAATTACTTGCATGTATTAGATTTTGCATTTGGACATATATTTATTATTAAAGACTATTAAAGATTAAAAAAAATAATCTCAAATGTTCATTTGAATTGAGCATTTTTAAATATATTCAAATATGGACTCGTATTGTTACTCATATTACCTACATATAATAGTTTGATCAGTCACAAAAAAGCAATCTGAATAAATATTAAATAAATAAAAGAAGCTGTCAATCAAAATGTCAGTAGCCAATGAGAGCTCACTGCTGCTAGCTTCGCCCCCACGAGAGATATGAGTTAGAAAGGCGAACGAAAACTTCACATGCATTTATGAAAAGTCTGGAAGTGCATTTGTAAGTTCAGATCAGCGAAAGAAAGATGTGAAAACAGTTAGGAAAACATGCAGTGTATTAAAAAAATGCTGTTTTTCACTTTCACAGATATTTTATTCAGTTTCAACTGCATTATTTTCTTGAAAATATATGTTCATTATTATTGGAACAAAGGTAATTCCATACAATTGAGGCTACTTTACACTAAACATCAGTAAGCCTATAACCACAAGTCAACAAAATATGCTAAACGTGTGTATTGCAATGATTAGCAGTGTTTGGCCGATGTTATGGGGTTTGCCTGCCTTCGCTATCCGTGACACGATGAGATGCTTCTGTCGCCTTCATGTTAATAGTGCCCAACAACTGTATTCTGCTTTTTTGTGACTGCAAATCATCACGCTTCCTCTCAAAAAACTCAACTGGCTTATTCACTAAATTTGTGTGCTCAGTTTTAATGTGACACTGAAGTTTGCATGTTCTCATGCTATCATTTGCTAGCACCTCATTGCAGAACACACACTGCGGACCACAGGTGCAGATCGGACCCCGACTACTCAGGATCATATTTATAAGTTTTTTGATGGCTCCTGTCTCTTCCCTTAATGCTGACTTTTGTTGACTTGGGACAAGGAAACAATACATTTTAAAGCTAATACACACACGCACAATTACCGCTATCAGGGGCTGAAGTCCGGAGTCTGATTTTTTTTATGTCATCTTTTTTATGAATGTAGGCCAGTATCACTGATATTAATAGAGCTACTGATGTCTCCATGAAAATGATTTTCCCAAAAATGTTAAACATTTATTAACCTTCAAAAATATAGCAACTTTAAGTTAGTTAACGTAAAAAAATCCTCACTTTAAACCCATAATAAATCTCATATTTACCTTTCCTGTCTAACAGGTATGAAATATACAGAAATTGAATAAGTCTGCACTGCATTAATTATAAATAAAATATAGATTAATCCTCATTAAAGCTACAAGCGTTCTTTAGTCAAGAGCTGTGAGTGATTTTCTCTGTTCCTTTTGTTCTTTGGTTAACTTTACAAACAGAGAGAATAAGTGCCGCTCCCACTTTAAGATCTGCCATATCTCATTCTCTCACTACTATTTCTATTTCTTCTATTTCTTTTTCTCACTTCTATTTAAGATTTGATTTAACTCATTTAAGACTGTTCTTGTGAGGATACTCAACAAAATGGACATTTTGGCATAAATGTGTGTGTTATTGTTCGTTCAAGCGTGAAAGATAACTCGATATTGGCGCGCGTCTTTCGAGTAGGGGGAGGCTGCAGACCTGGAGCCGGCAGTTTTACGCCCCTGACAGTTTTACGCCCCTGACAGTTTTAAGCCCCTGTCGTTCCTGATGCATCCAGTAGGGGGAGACTACACTTACAGATCTATAGCATCAGGCCTTCTAGAAGCGACATGAATTGAGGTATTTTAAATAATCTGCTAAAGTTATTGTTGTTGATTGAATTGTAATGATGATTATTTCTAAACGATAAGCTAAGATTCGATGTCAATTAAAAAAGATCGGTCTATAATTTACAGTTTTTTTTACAAAAACGTTGCTACTATTTTCAGAACCTTGATGTCATCTTTCAAAACTCTAGACACAAAACTCAAAACGGTTATCACTTGTAACACAGGCTTTCTAATGTTCAAAACATTGCATAGTGCATTCACATTTTTAAAGAAATCTTGCACTTGCACAATCATTGGTTCAAAAAACAAATTTACTGTGAAATAGGCCTAAACAAAACTATCACCCACACACAAGCAACCAATAGTTTCACTGTCATTTTTCGTACAATCATTAAATGTTGTAGAACAAAATAGGTGATACAGGTTTTATTATGGCACTACATGTACAGTAAACACATCTCTGTAAAGCATTACTGCAGTAGTACGGAGAATACACACAGGAATCATTCAACAAAGTGTGTGATATATTGATGCAAAACACTACAATCACAACAAAGGTTTATTGAATCTCATTATCTTGAAGCTTTCATGATTTACTGTAAAGATTGTGTGTCATGCATTAAGAGTAACACAACAGTTATCATTTTGAGCAGTTGTATCAATTGATAGTTAGATCATTGTAAGGAATAGACACTCATTTGAAATGTAATGTGTGAATTGCTTTTTGAAATAGTACTTTGATGTTAAGTTGTGTCATATTGAACAGGTGATTTTTGTTGAATGAACAAATGATCTAAGTTTTATGTATATTGTATGCGAGCAATTGAGAAAAGGGTTAGAGTTTTTAAAATGTGCATTTTGATCATTGGTTGTGAGTTAGAGTTTTGAAAAATGACATCAAGGTTCTGAAAATAGTAACAAAGAGAAGGTAAAAAACTGTAATAAAGTCTCTATTATTTCGAGAGACAATAAAAGTTGGCTACTTGATGGTCAGGTTGATGTTCTGTCTGGCTCAAACTTGGCAAACTTAACCACATACTGTATTAAAAGCTGCCCTAGTCTTCTCTTTATCTGCTCTGTCTCACTCACCTTTACAATTCATTTAATTTTTATTTTTATCTTGTCTGTCTTTACCTTGCGTGACATGGCATCTACTGGTAAGACCCAGTTTACTCCTTGCATTTAAACATACCCTACTCCACGTGGTTTCTGGAGCAACATTACAGTGGATATTGGAAATGTGTTAATTACAGTTTATGATGTGTACACAAACACATTTATAATAGGCATGCATGTATTTGAATGCAAATCTCTCTAAAGATTCGAACTGCACACTCACTATAATATTTTGTCTTATAATACATACAAACATAATGCATTATAAAGCCCACATTAAAAACTTTGGTCCCATATGGTTTAAATGTACATTTTGGTTTAAGTTGTTTTTTTATAAATGAGACGATCTAATTTTTTATATGTATATCATACAGTTTTCTTAAAATAGCTTACTGATCTGGACTAAAATGTATGTGCACTTAATGTGTGTTTTATCATACTCTGTCTTTAGTTATTTTTAACTTGTATCTCATTAAGGTGTGTCTGCTTTAGCTACTAAAGAAAATTAAAATCTCTGTCTCTAATCTTTTATAAACACCCCTTTTGAAGCCCCCCATAAATGTTCAACCATGACAGTGTGCCATTATTTTATAACCATTGTTTTTACCACTATTCAACTTTAGCTTCTTTTGTAAATAAATAACCTTTTATGTGAACAAAAATATTGTCTCTTTCTTTTAAATGGCCCTTGGAATTTTAGAAAAGGGTTAAATTGTGTTTGCCTTCATTAAATGTTATGTAGGACACTGTTCTGTTGCTGTATGATGACCAATTGTAAATATTACAGCAGATATTTCATTAAGGATCCATACAGTACTGCATATCTAAAGGCTAAATATGGTTAATACATAGGCCTAAATGTAACTTTATATAGTCCACAACAACATATATCAGTCAGTTTCCTGTATATAAAACAGTTTAAAAACAATTAATTCTACAGTAGGTCAAATATCATTACTTTGTCCATCTGATCCAACTAAAGTTTTTAATTTACAAAAACAAATCTTCTGTAGGTTGAGTGAAGCCTGGATGTTTTAATCCGTATAGTGCAGATAACTCCACTGTCTAACGTTTATTTAAATAAACAAATACCTACAAATTAGTAAAAGTCTGGACGGTTATTAATGTGTTTGTTTCCAGCATCTTTTTACGTTATTTCGCCGTATATCCTTCTCCCCCTACTGGGCGCATCAGGAACAACAGGGGCTTAAAACTGTCAGGGGCGTAAAACAGTCCCTCCAGAAAAACGCGATTATGCGATCGCTGAATTCAATGCAAAATCAGCCAAAGTCCGCATATTTATGCGGGGGCCGCATTTTTTCAAATACGCCGCAGTTTCGCCGCATAAATTGCCGATTTCCGTGCAAAATATGCGGGGTTTGCATGATTTCATAATCCTCGCATTTTCGTTGCAAAAAAGTCACATATATCTTAGCAGAAAGTTGAAAAATGGTGTGTTTGCTTCACGCAAGAGCAGCCATTTCCCCCTGTTTCTGGAACGTTATGAAGTGACGCAATTACGCGACGGGATAGCTCACAGCTGAAGTTATTGCAGAGGCCAGACAGACTCACGGAGGCGATTGACATCTCACAAATCGAACTCGTATAACTGTCTGTGACACGTTCTACCATCACATCGTTACTTAATAAACAACATAAGATAAAAGAATTAGCATCAAATAGAAATTAGCCGCACACATGGGGTGTTTGAGGCGCACATATAACACTGCAGACAATTCAACAGGGAGCTCGCAGCTCTTAAAGGGGCCACACCTTATTTACACTCGTTATAGTCTGATATAAAACAAGATGAGTAATTAAATATTCCCAGCACTTTCTATGATGTGGGATGCTTGCTTATCAAAGGAAGTAATAAGAAATGACTCTTTACATTAAGGTAGTAGCCTAGTGAGAACAGGGTGTTGGGGGAATCACTTTTTTTTCTCTTTTTCATCAAACCGCAGTTTTTGCAAATTCCCGCAATTTTTGCAAGTTTCTGCAATTTTTGCAAGTTCCCGCAATTTCATCGCATAAAATTGCATAAATTTCCCGCATATTCCATCGCATTTTTAAAGAAAACGGGCCGCGTAATCAAGGATTTTTGCCCGCAATAATCACAAAAAAACTCAGCTTTTTTCTGGAAGGACTGGTAAAACTGCCGGCTCCAAGTCTGCAGCCTCCCCATATAGGGTCTTTCTGTGTGTGTGTGTGTGTGTGTGTGTGTGTCAGGATGACATTCACTGACAGCACGCGTCTGTGGCTCTTTGGCGCCCGCCGGGGGAGTCGCGCCTCACCTATTGAAAACCGCTGTGCTAGGCTACTACTGTATGTTTGAGATGTCATGAGCCCCTTTCACACAGAGATTTGAACATGGCAATGTTACTAGGTCCCCAATCCCGCATCAATCCCGTGTCGTGTTTGCGTTCACTTCCAAGGGGGTAATCCACTAGCCGAAACTGAAGTCTCCCCAGGAGCCGCCATTGGCTAGTAAGTCTATCACCTGCTGTTAGCATTCCCATTGACTCCCATTCATTATGGCGTCACTTGGCCACACACACATCACTCCAAGCACAGGCACAAACGCTGACTCTGACAGAGGAACTGTTCACTGATGATCTCGAGCCGCCTTCAGGTCGCCATTTTCAAAATGTTTAATATTTAAATTGTATTTTGCTGTAAGGTTAAGGCAGCTGATACAGTGGTCAGTTGGCATCTTTATGTGGTCCTAATGTGTATTATATTTTCTACCCTTGAATGAAAAAGCAAGCTGAATTCTTGTTCTTTTTTAAGTGAAAAAGGAGCCATTTTCTGATTTTTCGACTTTCAATATCAAATAAAAAACACTGAATGAATCATACATGTATTGAGGAGAGCATTTGAAAATTATTAAATATAATGTGAACTTGAAATAATGATCAAGTGACAAAAGAATCAACAATTAATAAAACATTAAAAATGATTGTTAAATGATACTAAACTGCAATACAGACTGTAACAAACTGGGTTCATTTTCCCCCTCAATGATTTAACACAGTGTTAATGTCTATTCACTTCTACATTTAGAGCCATGATTCACTTTATGTTATAGTGTTTGTTGTTGCTGCTAACTAAACATTCTTCATTATTTTCTTGATTCTGTTATTTTATGCCATGTTATTAATCTCAGGAACATATATTGCCATCTCCAGGTCAAACTGAAACCAGTGCTGATCTGTTTCCAATGTTAGTTTAGCTGCAGTATGTCAGAGGAGCGAGGAAATGACTCTCTCTCTAAGACGAGTCTCTCAGAGGAACAGCGGTATGACTGCGTCTGTTTTCACAATCATTTTAAACTACTGAAGTTTTAGATTCTTCCTCTGAAGAACTAAGCATTGTTTTATATTTGCAAACGCTTTGCAGAACTTCTTATTTATAAAAAAAAGCATAAAATAAAATTATTTTGTGGCCGGTAGATAACCATCTTAAATCTAAATCAATATTTTCTATTTTCTACCTCTCCTTCAGCAGAAGTGTTACATTGCTGTAAATGCTAAATGTACATTGATTTTTAAAATTAAAATGTATGTTTACAGTAATGATTGTGCAAATGCTTTATAGAGAGTAGAGAGAGTTTGTGCCGTTATCAGACACTGATAAACTTCTGTAATTAAACTTTATCTTGTATTTATTTGTTATTAGTAAAAGATCAGGCTCACATGTGTCCAGCTCTGTGTCTGTGAAGAGTGACTGCTCAAAGGATGGTGGCCTACCGAACTTCAGTGAGAAAAAGACATCTATCAAAAGGTATTTATATGTTTTTTACATTATACAGTTATAATTTCTACACAATGTGATGAAACTTAACTAAATACAACTATAATTCACAGAAAACAATGTCCGCTAGTCTGATTTCCTTTTTACTGAACTCAGTCTGGAGCTTCTCTCCAGTAACACAATAACACAGAACGCCACTAGGGGGCATAAATTTACCAGAAAATATCATGCAACCAAACATGAATAAATCAAGGGGGTAATCCATCGACTGGAAGTTGATGCCTCACGGGAGCTGCCATCTTGTAGCAGAACTTCACTTGCATTAGCATTTCCATTGACTCCCATTCATTTTGGCATCACTTTGACAGCGAATAACTTTACATCTGAGGCATTTGAAGACTCCATTTGTCTATTATTTATTTCTAAAGAAACACGACAATGTATAAAATGCTCCATTACCTTGTAGCTTCTGTTATGGCCCCATAGAAGCAGTTTTTTGTAAAAGTAGGCTAACGATTGCGTCATACCCACGTGACTCTCTGTCGCTAGGGCTGGGCGATATATCGAACGATATTGAATGCGCATCTAATCAGTAAAGGCGGTTCCTTGATTAGCAGTAAATCACCTTCACCTGCTTTCAGATGGAGCAGCATTCACTACAAAGAGCCGTAGATCACTGACAAGCTGAGCCAAATCGCGTTAATATCGAGGACATATCGATATCGATATTTAATGCGATATGGCTCAGCTGGTCAGTGAACTACGACTCTTCGTCACGATAAAATATCCCGTGTTAAACTAACACACCTGGAGTGTATATGAGTCCACACTTAAGAGTGTTAAAGTTAATGAGATAATTAAGTGGTTAAATGAGTGATTGAGCATTATTGAAGACACCTAAAGCAGAATCACAAGGAAAAAATCTAAAATTTTAAGCCACCGTTATGGAGATGAGTGTTTGCTTTAGTTGGGCTCTTGACCCTTATATTATACATCTTATGTTTTAATTTGCTGTTGCATCTGAGTTATGTCTGTCAGATGAACAAAGATAAACAATTATAAAATGATGTTGGTTATATAATGACTTTCATCATTTAAAACTTATGTCTGTGATTTATTCTGTTGATTAATGTATAACTGAGATTCTGCATAAACATCCAGAACATTAAATATAATATAATGGATTTCTCAAAAGTTGTTTTAAACAAAAAAAAAATCTTTCTTTAAGGCACACACAGACCTGAAGATTCAGTCAATGCTTCTCAACAACGGTGACGAGTAGAATATTCAAGTAGGAAAAGTAAATTACATAGACAATTCAGATCATAATTTATTCATACCGCAATGCATGATGGGACACATTAATGAGTTGTGATTGGTGGCAACATGTCACCACGGTTGAGATAGACAGGCTGATTATTGATCTCTGTGTTTCTGAATAAAGATGACAGTGATTTGATCAGATTAAATATGTTAGATTATAAGTAAAATACAGATATGCAGCAGAACCACAAAACTGTAGCCAACAAGTTAATCGAATCAACTGAATAAGTTTCATTTTCCAGATCATTGCATGATTATGTCAGAACATAACCAACACTATCAGTTCACAGTTGCCTGTGTTTATTTGACTGTTATAACTCAATATCAACTGGCAAACAAAGTTTAAAGTGAAAGTATAAGTGTCAAGAGCCCAACTAAAGCAGACACTGATCTCCATAACGTTGACTTACAATTTGTGATTTTGTCCTTCAGCGATTCTGCTTGTGATCATCAGGTGTCTTCAATAATGCTCAATCATCACTAAATTAATCACTTAATTATCTAAATAACAGTTTAATGTAACACTCATATCGTCCATCTGAAAGCAGGTGAAGGTGATTTACTGCTAATCAAGGAACCGGCTTTACTGATTAGATGCGCATAACAATATCGTGCGATATATCGCCCAGCCCTACTCGTACTACTGCGTAGGGCTGGGCGATATATCGAACGATATTGAATGCGCATCTAATCAGTAAAGCCGGTTCCTTGATTAGCAGTAAATCTCCTTCACCTGCTTTCAGATGGAGCGGCATTCACTACAAAGAGCCGTAGATCACTGACAAGCTGAGCCATATCGCGTTAATATCGAGGACATATGATATCGATATTTAATGCGATATGGCTCAGCTGGTCAGTGAACTACGGCTCTTCGTCACGACAAAATCTCCCGTGTTAAATTAACACACCTGGAGTGTATATGAGTCCACACTCAAGAGTGTTAAAGTTAATGAGATAATTAAGTGATTAAATGAGTGATGATTGAGCATTATTGAAGACACCTAAAGCAGAATCACAAGGAAAAAATCTAAAATTTTAAGCCACCGTTATGGAGATGAGTGTTTGCTTTAGTTGGGCTCTTCACCCTTATATTATTAACTTTATAAATCAATTTGCTGTTGCATCTGAGTTATTTCTATCTATCAAATGAACAAAAATAAACAATAATAAAATGATTTTGGTCATATAATAACATTTATCATTTTAAATTTATGTAATTATATATATATAAAATTTATAATAAAGTTTATTTATAAAATTTACAACATATAATTTATTATATGTATAATTTATATTATTAGATTCTGAATAAATGTCCAGAATGTTAAATATAATAGACAGTTTTCTCAAAAGATGCTTAAAAGAAAAAAACCCTTCCTTTAGGCACACACAGACCTCAAGATTCAGTCAATGCTTCTCAACAATGGTGACGAGTAGAATATTCAAGTAGGAAAAGTAAATTACATAGACTATTCAGATCATAATTTATTCAAACCGCAATGCATGATGGGAGCCATTAATGAGTTGTGATTGGTGGCAAAGAGGATTAATTTCGCCACCACAGTTGAGATAGACAGGCTGATTATTGATATCTGTGTTTCTAAATAAGCATGAAAGTGATTGGATCAGAATAATATTTATTAATTAATTTATGTTAAAAGAAAAATACAGATATGCCGTACAATGACTAAAATCTTGCTAACAAGTTAAGCCAAAACATCTGAAAAGTTTCATTTTATAGATCACAGCATGATTATGTCGAAACATAACCAACACTATAAGAGCAAAGATGTCTTATTTAACTGCTATTAATCAATAATAAAGCAGACACACAAAATTTAAAGTGTAAGTATAAGTGTCAAGAGCCCAACTAAAGCAGACACTGATCTCCATAACGGTGGCTTACAATTTGTGATTTTGTCCTTCAGCGATTCTGCTTGTGATCATCAGGTGTCTTCAATAATGCTCAATCATCACTAAATTAATCACTTAATTATCTCATTAACTTTAACACTTATATTGTCCATTTGAAAGCATGTGAAGGTGATTTACTGCTAATCAAGGAACCGGCTTTACTGATTAGATGCGCATAACAATATCGTGCGATATTTCGCCCAGCCCTACTACTGCGTGCTCATGTATCATCACAGGATCAGCCGGCCGAAAGAAAGTTCTGTTCAGAGACGGTGCTATCACGCATGCGCAGTATCTCCAGCTCGTCGGTTCTCCGTATCGAACGTGTCCGAAAGAAACAGTTCTCGGTTCTGTACTAGTGATTCAAGAACTGCAACAACCAGTTCTCGACTCTAGAACCATAGCATAGCTGTGTGCTGAGCTGAAACCTGAATATACAGTCGACAAAACTAAAAAAATCGATGCATGTCTGTCTCCAATATAGCCTTCTGTAGCCTATACAGTATATATATACATCATGTTTATAATGTGTTAACATAACGAATTAAAAATATATGTTTAATTCGTCATGTTAACACATTATAAACATTTACTAAGCAGTGCACCAAACCTTGGCAAGAGTTTACATAAATGATTTATATTGTTACTTAGAAATTAAATGAGCTAGCTGTACCTGAAAATATTTTTTTAGTATAATAATAAATGTTTAGTAGTTTGACAGTTTTAGAATCCAATCATTTTTTCCAATCGTTAAAATAATACAGTGATACAGTAATGGGATAAACATGTTTCCAAAATGTTTTATTTTGTTACACTTACATGATGTTCAACTAAAGACATGGAAACGTACATTTCGTCCCTCAGAAAAAAATGCACGCATGCTCAGCTCATAAACTCATCAATTCTCAATATGTCGAACGTGTCCGAAAGAAACAGTTCTCGGTTCTGTACTGGTTATCCGACCGCTGTAACTGTATGTTCGGTAGTACACGCATGCGCAGTATCAGCTGCTCGTGCTCATCACTTCTCTCAGCACCAATATATGTCTCCGTTCAGTGAACTTTTTGAGTTACTGAATAAAATGTACTAATGGATATTGGTTTATTTCGATTCGGAGGGACTGTCAGGCATGTCTGAAAGTGAGTAACTTTAGTAACTTGTGGTTTAGCGCTGACGCAGGACGCGAACTGTTTCGAACGATTCAGTCCGATTTAGTGTACTGGTTCGACCGGTTCACTAAAAAGAACCGGTTCAAAAGAACGATTCGTTCACGAACCGGCCATCACTACTTCAAATTTTGTTTGCTTGTTGATATTGATTTATAACAGTCAAATAAACACAGGCAACTGTGAACTGATAGTGTTGGTTATGTTTTGACATAATCATGCAATGATCTGAAAAATGAAACTTATTCAGTTGATTTGGCTTAACTTGTTAGCTACAGTTTTGTGGTTCTGCTGCATATCTGTATTTTACTTATAACCTAAAATATTTAATCTGATCAAATCACTGGCATCATTATTCAGAAACACAGAGATCAATAATCAGCCTGTCTATCTCAACCGTGGTGACATTTTGCCACCAATCACAACTCATTAATGTCTCCCATCATGCATTGCGGTTTGAATAAATTATGATCTGAATTGTCTATGTAATTAACTTTTCCTACTTGAATATTCTACTCGTCACCGTTGTTGAGAAGCATTGACTGAATCTTGAGGTCTGTGTGTGCCTTAAAGTAAGATTTTTTTTTTGTTTAAAACAACTTTTGAGAAATCCATTATATTATATTTAATGTTCTGGATGTTTATGCAGAATCTCAGTTATACATTAATCAACAGAATAAATCACAGACATAAGTTTTAAATGATGAAAGTCATTATATAACCAACATCATTTTATAATTGTTTATCTTTGTTCATCTGACAGACATAACTCAGATGCAACAGCAAATTAAAATATAAGATGTATAACATAAGGGTCAAGAGCCCAACTAAAGCAAACACTCATCTCCATAACGGTGGCTTAAAATTTTAGATTTTTTTCCTTGTGATTCTGCTTTAGGTGTTTTCAATAATGCTCAATCATCACTCATTAATCACTTAATTATCTCATTAACTTTAACACTCTTGAGTGTGGACTCATATACACTCCCAGGTGTGTTAATTTAACACGGGAGATTTTGTCGTGACGAAGAGCCGTAGTTCACTGACCAGCTGAGCCATATCGCATTAAATATCGATATCGATATGTCCTCGATATTAACGCGATATGGCTCAGCTGGTCAGTGATCTACGGCTCTTTGTAGTAAATGCCGCTCCATCTGAAAGCAGGTGAAGGTGATTTACTGCTAATCAAGGAACCGGCTTTACTGATTAGATGCGCATTCAATATCGTTCAATATATCGCCCAGCCCTAAGTGACACTATTATATGATTAGGGTATGAATATGTTTTTATCTTGATGCGGTGCGGACGCGCTTGGAAAAAAAACGAGCGCGTTCACCGCGTTGAACTTGCACCCTGCACGCGGCGCGCCTAGTAGCCTAAATTTGAAATAACCATGGAAATAACGAACTTGAGCGTGCAAAAGGGTACGATAGGCTGTGAGTTCATTGTGCAAAAACAATTTGTGCTATTACTTTCCCCGTATTCTATCCTATAGTAATGCAATACTGTATATTATATAGGCTACTGTTGAATACATTTGGTTCAGCTAATAAATTGCATTTAAAATATATTGATTCCTGTAATAATAATTATTTATTCATGTAATATTTATAAATCTGGGTGCGTTTTTGGTTGGAAATCAATGAAACATGGTACTGCATTACCTGGTCTCCCCTGTTTATTGTTTATAAACACCCGTGATAAACTATGCTTTTCTATCTAATGTTAGTAATTGCTGACTCTTTATTCCAACGCTGAGCGAAGCGAACTCTCTGCTCCTCGTCAGGGTGCGTGTCAGGTGATTGTTATCACTCTGCCCAAGTAGCAGTGCTTCGCCTTCAGAAAATATAGTATTTATACGGTTAAAAGATGTCTATGTCTCATATGGCCTTGATATTTGTACATTATGTGACTATACAAACCACAACATGTAAATAGGAAAACGTTTGCGTTATTTTGTCACTCATTTGGATTAGTATGAAAGCTGCAACCATTCACATCCAGTCTTTGTGCTAAGCTAGGCTAGCGGTGGGTGCGTCAAACAGACTTATAGCTAGGGCTGGGCGATATATCGAACGATATTGAATGCGCATCTAATCAGTAAAGCCGGTTCCTTGATTAGCAGTAAATCACCTTCACCTGCTTTCAGATGGAGCGGCATTCACTACAAAGAGCCGTAGATCACTGACAAGCTGAGCCATATCGCGTTAATATCGAGGACATATGATATCGATATTTAATGCGATATGGCTCAGCTGGTCAGTGAACTACGGCTCTTCGTCACGACAAAATCTCCCGTGTTAAATTAACACACCTGGAGTGTATATGAGTCCACACTCAAGAGTGTTAAAGTTAATGAGATAATTAAGTGGTTAAATGAGTGATGATTGAGCATTATTGAAAACACCTAAAGCAGAATCACAAGAAAAAAATCTAAAATTTTAAGCCACCGTTATGGAGATGAGTGTTTGCTTTAGTTGGGCTCTTGACCCTTATATTATACATCTTATGTTTTAATTTGCTGTTGCATCTGAGTTTTGTCTGTCAGATGAACAAAGATAAACAATTATAAAATAATGTTGGTTATATAATGACTTTCATCATTTAAAACTTATGTCTGTGAGTTATTCTGTTGGTTAATGTATTACTGAGATTCGGCATAAACATCCAGAACATTAAATATAATATAATGGATTTCTCAAAAGTTGTTTTAAACAAAAAAAAATCTTTTTAAGGCACACACAGACCTCAAGATTCAGTCAACGCTTCTCAACAACGGTGACGAGTAGAATATTCAAGTAGGAAAAGTAAATTACATAGACAATTCAGATCATAATTTATTCATACCGCAATGCATGATGGGAGACATTAATGAGTTGTGATTGGTGGCAACATGTCACTAGGGCTGGGCGATATATCGAACGATATTGAATGCGCATCTAATCAGTAAAGCCGGTTCCTTGATTAGCAGTAAATCACCTTCACATGCTTTCAAATGGATGATATGAGTGTTAAAGTTAATGAGATAATTAAGTGATTAATTTAGTGATGATTGAGCATTATTGAAGACACCTGATGATCACAAGCAGAATCGCTGAAGGACAAAATCACAAATTGTAAGTCAACGTTATGGAGATCAGTGTCTGCTTTAGTTGGGCTCTTGACACTTATACTTTCACTTTAAACTTTGTGTCTGCTGTTATTGATTAAAGGAACACTCCGACTTTTTGGGACTTTAGCCTATTCACCTTACCCCCCAGAGTTAGATAAGTCCATACATACCTTTTTCATCTCCGTGCGTGCTGTCGCACAGTAGAGAGATTACCGTATGGACATGAGAAGAAGCTCAAGCAAACTTTTACTGTCTATGAGGCAATCTGGGGACATGGAGGCATAAAGTCAAGGCAGAAGCCCAAAGATAGAGAGTTCATAAAAGCAACGAGATGAAATATATATATACCGTATGGACATGAGGAGAAGCTTGCGGTCAATCGGGGAAACGTGGAGGCAAAATGACAAAATAATAAATCAGAATACCTATCAAAAGTGTCTCCTGCTCCTAGCTCATGGACAGCTCCTATTCACAGTCTCCGCCTCTGCATGTTTTGGAAGGGAATGATTCAGATTTCTCATGCAGCCGCACTAGAAGACAGACGGGTCGCTCACGTCACATCTACTTCGTCAAGCTCTGTTTGAGTCGATTTGAGTCTGCGCGTCAGGAACGGAAGTGCTAAAAAATCGCCAAAAACGGCTTCACTTGTTTCAATGGAGTTCCAATGAGATGGCTCTGTCCACTTCTTATACTGTCTATGGAATAAATCCATCTGTAGGAGCCATTTGTTGGATTGTTAAGTTTTTCGTCTACTGGATTGTGCTGTGTATAATTAGAGCACATGAGCAACAAGTGTGTGTGTTGGTATTTGGGAAGCACACTGTTTTTTGACCGCACAGCAGAGTGTCTCGCAAAGTGAATATCTTAGGTATGGCTTTGTGTGTACGTGTGAACGAGAAAAGGCCACAAGAAGTTTTAAGACAAGTTTTGAGATCATGTTTAATAGAGCACAAGGAATAAAGAAAGACATTTGTTTGCATCTACATCAGACATTTGTACAGCTTACATCTACATGCATGGACTCTGTTAGTACGCGTTCTAAACTTGCTTACTCCTCTTATCAACGGCAATGGCATTGGAAAGTCAATACACCATCTATCCAGTCATGAGAGGGACAAATACACAACTATACAGTATTTAATTACCATTTCTAACATTAACATCCTCTTATAATGAGACAGAAGTATCTTCTGTATTGAAGTGTTTTTTCTCTCTGTTCTTTGTTTCATCTGTGATAGATCAAGTTCACATGTGTCCAGCTCTGTGTCTGTGAAGAGTGACTGCTCAAAAGATGCTGACCAACCAAACTTCAGTGAGGAAACACCATCACCAACCAAAGGGTATTTCATGTGTTTCTTATTTTTCGGTCACAGAAAGTGTATCAATGAATAATTAGCATAAAGCTGTATAGTTAAAATATTTACTGGAGTATATTTTGCTAAAATCATTTTCTAGAGATTTTGATAATATATTTCCTGGAAATGCAGTATTTATTTATTTATTTTTGCTAACAGGCTTAAATATGAAGCATTAGATTCGGATTTCCAGACTTACAGGAAACACAAGAATTTCTCAAAGAATCTCCTGTGGATCTTCCAGGTAAAAAAAAAATGCTTACATGGTTAGAAATATTTAATAATTATAATAAAAAAAGATTATTTATCATGTTTTCCTGAAAACATACTCAATAGAAATGTCATTTCTAATTATTTTTGACCATTTACTTTTCATTTTAAGAACCCATAAAACAAGAATGAAATGTGAAAGGTTTATTTTTATTTATTAATAATTACAGCAAAAAGAGAACACACAATCCTTAGTGGAGGACTTTAATGAGAACAGATGCTGTATTAAAGAAGCAGCTCTTGATCTCACACTACATTACCTGAGAGAGATGAAGCAAGATGAAGCTGCTGATGCTCTAGAAGGTAAGAGACTCATGACCATCTGTTAGATTAACACCTATACATGTATGGGAGAAAATTAAAACTGTCTGTTTGTTTTTCCTGTGTTTAGATGAGCTGAACTTTAATCATCAGCTAAAATGTAGGTTAAAGGAGAAGTATCAATGTGTGTTTGAAGGAATTGCAAAGCAAGGTGACTTCACACTCCTGAATAACATCTACACAGATCTCTACATCACTCAGGGTGGCAGTGAACAGGTCAATACTGAACATGAGGTGAGACAGATTGAAGTTGCTTCCAGACGTCATGAAGCACAAGAGATACAGGTTGAATGCACACATTTGTTTGAAGCGCCTGAACAACAAGAGGAGATCCGAACTGTACTGACAAAAGGAGTCGCTGGCATCGGGAAATCAGTCTCTGTGCAAAAGTTTGTTCTGGACTGGGCTGAAGGAAAAGAAAATCAAGATATCAGCTTCATATTTCCTCTTCCATTCAGAGAGATGAACTTAAAGGAGAAAGAAAAACTAAGTTTGATGGACCTTATAACTCAGTTTTTCCCAGAGACAAAAGGACTGAACCTTACAAGAAGGAATCAGTTCAAAGTGCTGTTCATCCTTGATGGACTGGACGAATGTCGCCTTCCTCTGAAGTTTGATTGTAATGAGACGTGGTGTGATGTATCGTCACCAGCCTCTCTGGATGTTCTCCTAACGAACCTCATGAAGGGAAATCTGCTTCCTTCTGCTCTCGTCTGGATCACCAGCAGACCAGCAGCTGCCAGTAAGATTCCTCCTGACTGTATCGACCGGCTGACCGAGATACGAGGATTCAGGGACGCACAAAAGCAAGAGTACTTCAGAAAAAGATTCAAGGATGATATTCAAGCCAACACAATCATAGATCATGTTAAACAATCAAAGAGTCTCTTCATCATGTGCCACATCCCAGTCTTCTGCTGGATTTCAGCCACTGTTCTCCAGATCATTCTGGAGGAGAAGAGAAATAATGATGTGAAAAACACTCAGGCTGATGAGATCTCTAAAACACTGCAGGAATCAAACATTGAAGACACTCCCAAGACTCTGACACAAATGTACACACACTTTCTCCGCTTTCAGATCCAGCAGAGCCGCTGGAAATATGATGGAGAATACACACCAGATGTTTCCTGGGATAAAGACGCCATCCTTTCACTGGGGAAACTGGCATTTCATCAGCTGGAAAGAAATAACCTGATCTTCTATGACACAGACCTGGAAGCCTGTGGTCTTGACGTCTATAAGGCATCAGTGTACTCAGGCATGTGTACCCAGATCTTTAAGGAGGAAACAGGGATCGTTCTTGGTACCATGTACTGCTTTGTTCACTTGAGCATTCAAGAGTTTATTGCAGCCCTTTATGCACATCTGTTTCTAGACATCAACAAGACAAGTATGTTTGATCATGAGTCTACAGAACAGAAAAACAGAAATGAAACCATGATTGATTTTCTCAAGACTGCAGTGGACAAGGCGCTGGAGAGTGACAATGGACACCTGGACCTTTTCCTTCGCTTCCTCCTCGGTCTGTCACTCCAGTCCAATCGACGACTCTTACGAGGTCTGTTGACACAGCGAGACGGCACTGACCAGAGCAACAAGGGGACAGTTCGACGACTCTTACGAGGTCTGTTGACACAGCGAGACGACACTGACCAGAGCAACAAGAAGATAGTTCAGTACATCAAGCAGAAATTAGCAGATAATCTTCCTGCAGAGAGATCCATCAATCTGTTCTACTGTCTGAATGAACTGAACGACCAAACTCTGGTGAACGAGATTCAGACCCACCTTAGCAAAGGAAGTCTCTCATCTGGTGACCTTTCACCTGCCCAGTGGTCTGCTTTGGCCTTTGTGTTGTTGACATCAGAGGAGGAGCTGGAGGAGTTTGAGCTTCAGAAATTCAAGAAATCAGACCAGTGTCTCATTAGATTATCGGCAGTCATCAAAACATCCAGAAGAGCTCTGTAAGTCTTTTAATATATTTTGTCATGTTTAGCTCTCATCTGAAAAATGCATTTATCCCTATAAACATGAAGCTATAGCTTTATAGCTGTTTGTGTGTGTGTGTGTGTGTGTGTGTGTGTGTCAAGTCAAGTCACATTTATTTATATAGCGCTTTTCACAATACAGATTGTCTCGAAGCAGCTACAGTGATAACATGAAAGTAGTACAACACAGATCAATAATATTGTTAAATATTAAATATTAAAGGTGCATTGCGCAACATTTCATGTTAAAAATAGCCGTTTTCTAACCCATACATGCTTAAACACTTGCCTGATGAGCTGAATGAGCCCTTCTCTGATCACTGAGATCGCCTCTATAATCCTGTACAGTGAAATATATAAGAGGGATTCGGGCTCGAATCTGAGACTGGGCGTGACGTCATGCGCATTCACGCTCGCCTGGCTATGTCTGGCAGGTTCGTGTAGCTATTCGCCGCCGTTCTCCGTATCAGAGAAGACAACTCGAGCGACACAACTCTAGTCAGCTTTCCACAAAAGTAGACGATGGGTTCAAAGGGGCTGTTTACACCTGGTCACTTCATGTGTTTTCTGTGATCGGATAGCTATTCGATCGTGAAAAGACCAGGGTGTAAATGCCCTCTGAACCCACATAGCAAACAGATCCGGAACGGATCTGCCGCGGAGGTAAGAACCAGGTCCGGAACGGAGTCCACTTGCACAGCGCAACGGATCCGGAACAGATCCGGATTGCGGATCCAGACTAGATCCGCGGCAGACCCTATCCGGATCCGATCTGGACCCGTTCATTTTGGAATGAAAACCTATCAGATCACTCATTCAAAACTAGTAATCTGGCCAAAACTACAAAAATATTTCAAATCTATTGGTGGGCCAACATTAGATAGACTGCCCACTAAACAACATGATGTCCAAAAGATGTCTTTTCAACGTCTTTGTCACAAAAGTCGGATGCTGAAAAGACGTCCACTGAGGAGCCAGAATTAAAGTTTTTATGACGTGTTTTTTTGACGTGTTCTGCACGTCCGATATAGACGTTCATCGAACCTTCGTACAAGTTTAAAAACTAGTTCAAATGTGGCCATCGTGTTTAAAACTCATGTTTATATCAATGTCATTTCCTTACATTGTTTAGATGAGGTTTAGATGTTGATATGTTTCATTTTAAGAAACCATTGTGGTGATGAGTGTTTGCTTTAGTTGGGCTCTTGGTCCCAATTCATCTTACTTTAACTTTACTTTGGTTGTAGTAACTGTGTGATTGTATAACACTAGTGTTGTTGCACAGAAAGCCAAGAAAAAGTGAGATGCTGGCATCAGCTTGTTGATTATCATTGCTAAGTCACAAAGTGAGCATTTGATGTTGTGTTTAGACTTTAGTCTTTATTTCTGCCATTTATAACCACCTATCTTGTGGAACTGTGTTATTTGTATACCATTAAAAGTAGCACTTATTAGAAGGTGAATAAAAAAAAGCTTGTTAAACAATGTTATTAGGAAATTTACCTTATAGTCACACACATACATCAAGATTTTGCGTATGTATCACAAGAACGGTGACAAGAAAAAAAGCTTCATGCTGCAATGCATGATGGGTAGTTTTCAAAGTACAAAAAAACCTTGATTCCCAAGCTTTTTTTGTTTTGGTTGTCACCGTTGTTGAGAATCATATGCAAAATCGTGATGTCTGTGTGTGACTACGTGACATATTTGCTCAAAACATTGAGTACATATGATTTTTATTGACCTTCAAATAAGCAACAATTGTAATGGTGCTGGTCCAAATAACGCAGTTCCACAAAATAGGTGGTTATAAACAGCAGATATAAGGACAAAAGTCTACACACATCATTAAAAGCTCGCTTTGTGTTTTTGTCATCATCAACAAGGAGCTGATGACAGCCGATTTTACTTTTTCTTGGCTTTCTATGCAACAACAATAGTGTTATACAAACACACAGTTACTACAACCAAAGAGAAGTTAAAGTAGGAAGAATTGGGACCAAGAGCCCAACTAAAGCAAACACTCATCACCACAATGGTGACTTAAAATGAAACATATCAACATCTAAACCTCATCTAAACAATGTAAGGAAATGACATTGATATAAACATGAGTTTTAAACACGATGGCCACATTTGACCTAGTTTTTAAACTTGTACGAAGGTTCGATGAACGTCTACATCGGACGTGCAGAACACGACAAAAAAACACGTCATAAAAACTTTAATTCTGGCTCCTCAGTGGACGTCTTTTCAGCATCCGACTTTTGTGACAAAGACGTTGAAAAGACATCTTTTGGACATCATGTTGTTTAGTGGGCAGTCTATCTAATGTTGGCCCACCAATAGATTTGAAATATTTTTGTAGTTTTGGCCAGATTACTAGTTTTGAATGAGTGATCTGATAGGTTTTCATTCCAAAATGAACGGGTCCAGATCGGATCCGGATAGGGTCTGCCGCGGATCTAGTCTGGATCCGCAATCCGGATCTGTTCCGGATCCGTTGCGCTGTGCAAGTGGACTCCGTTCCGGACCTGGTTCTTACCTCCGCGGCAGATCCGTTCCGGATCTGTTTGCTATGTGGGAAACGCGTTAGAGACGGATGAATCCGATCGCTCAAACCACTTGAGGACGTGGTCTGGGCCGCATTCCAGACGAAACTGGACAAGTGTAAATGCATCTGGTTGTTGAAAACAAGCTATATGTCATGTTATTTTAGTCATATATGACGACGCGCATCACCTCAGATGAGCAGCTGAGCTGAGCAAGCCAGCGCGCCGCAATCTATCGCAAATCAAAGTGAAAGTAAGTCGCAGACGCTTAACACTACCATCTTCATTAAAAGTAAAGAAATGAATTGATCTTACCGGGCCTGTTGCCGATCTCTCTTATTGCTGTCTTTGCTGATTTTGAAATTAGCCGATGATTAATAAAATCCAGCTCATATCTGTTGCTTTCGGTGACGTGCACTTCATATCTGTATATGGCGCGGAAAGAGACCGGCTTGTAGTTCATTACAAACCCCAACGCAAACTCCGCGTGAGACAAAGAAAATAAAACTTCAGTCTGTCCAGTGCCAGGCGTCGGAATAAGACGAGAGTCGACATCGGGAAGGCTTTCAACAAACGGAGAGATCTCTGGTATGCTCTAGGGCTCAAACGGATCCTGTACAAAGTGATAACTGAACGTGTTTCCATAATAATTCAATCATAAGTGGATACAGTAAGCACAGGGAGATAGATGGAAACAAAAACGGAAGTTTTCTACTACCCCCGTTTCCCCCTGTCACACACATAAGTGTGTAATTTACTCGAATGCCTTTCCTTTCATATACTTTAAATGACTTGCAGATTTATTACTGTATTACCTCATTATGACTGTAACAAAAGATGTGTGCCGCACACTGATGTGCGGCTGATGCTCCTTAGGTTATGAACAGCTCGTGCAAACGTGCGTATGTGTGTGTGTTCCTCCATGAACGCGCACAGCTCTGGTTGCAGTTTCGCATGTCGCCAGAGGGGGCACACATTTTTTGTCACATACATCAAACGTCTCCTCACTATCGGCTAGCTGCCTGTCCCCTAAACACACTGTAAAAAAACGCGGTCTCTGTAGACACCACAGGCTCCAAAAACGGCAACAAAAATAATCATGTCTTACCCGGACCACGAAACCTAACAAACAGTGTTCCAGCCAATCACTGGCAAGAAGTATTTGAGGGTGGGTCTGGGGGGTTAGTGTGCGTGCACATGAAGGGTGTGTGTGTGTGTGTGAAGGAGAGACTCAGAGAAGCATCCGAGGGAAGTTTGAATAATGGCTGAAACACGCCCAAAGAGACGTCGTTCTGAAGAACAAATTAAAAAGAAGAAGGAGTCGGATAAAGAATGTGCGAAGTTCCGAATTTACATCGGTAGCAAAGCTTTTGAACGATGGCGAGAACTCCGGCAGCAGAAGGGCTTCCAGTCCGACATTCAGGTTGCTCTGTTTTTGCTGGACAGGTGGGTAACGTTAAATTGTTTTTTTTCTTCTAAATTGACGCTTATGTTCGCCAAACCCACACAAGGCTATAATTAGCTAGAACTATGCACGTTCACAATTATTTCAGGAAGCACGGAAGGGAGGGGGAGGAGATGAGATGCGGAGGAGGGAGGGTCTAGCTAGCCTCCGATTTGTTTGAAAATATTCCGAACGTCAACACCCAGGATCGCTTAGAGAACCTTTAATACAAAATATAAAATACCATATAAAATTGTTTGGATGTTTGTTTTGTATCATATGACTTAAAAACGTAAAAAAAACCTTAGTTTTTCAGACTTGTATGACTCGTATATAATTATATATGCTATCACCTACTTATACTTGAGGAAGAAAAAAATCCATTACCCAAATTACCCAAACTGGGGGGAAATATTGTAATTTGATACTAAAATAAAATACCTACATCTCAACACATCAAATACTAGTTGTCCCTCAGTTTCTCCCAGTAATTATATATTTAAATGCTTATTTCTATGAGTACTTTTGTAGTTTAAAGGGTTAGTTCGGTATTTTACACTTAAAGCCCTGTTTTAAGATCGTTTCTGATGAAATAGAACGGTTAAGATTGAAATTTGGACAAATGCTGCTGTCCCGAGAATTTTAGGTTTGTGTGTTAGCACCCTCCACCTACACAATGGTTGTCTATGTGCACTGGAACAATCATTCATAAAACGCATTAAACTTTAGTTTACTAAGATGTGAAACTCACCGAGGGGTCTGGGGTGTTCACTGATATGCTCACACAAAAATCACTGCAAAAGATGCTTTCCAACAGGTTTTATTGTAGTTTTTGCAAAAACAGTATTGCAGTAGACATACAATTTAAAAGAAAAGAAACACAACAAATTAAATGTATTTTGCTATTACATTATATCTTCATACAAAAATAAAAACTTTGGCCAGTTTTCCAATACATTTAATTTAAGTTTAAATTAAAACTGAAATAAAAAGCTTTTATATTTAGCTTTAAAGTGCTGTAGTCAGATCAAACAATCATGCTAAATGAAGTACTTAACCACCAGTCAACCTGGTACTTCATACTCTTGTGGTGCGCGCACAGTCTTCACTCGGACGCACTCTTCAATCTATCGCCGTTGTGGAAACTCTTTATTCTTTCCAATGAAATCACAAAATAAAATGCACACAAAGGTGACCCTGCTTGATATAGACCAGGTGTGCCCAACCCTGCTCCTGCCAATCGACTGTCCTACACAGTAGGCGTTTCTCAATACCAAGTACGCAGACTTCGGACTTGCATCCTTGGTAGTTCAGACTTGCCAAGTTCGACTCAGGAGAACGAACTCCCGAGGATGCGAGGACGCAAGTCCGGTTCTTCTGCAAATGGAACAGAGCGTACTTGATCGTGTCACTCAGCACGCTCTGGCTACTCTGGTTATCTCTTTATATAGCCTATATTTTAGGCAACAATAAAACGAAATTTGCAACAACTCTGCATCTTTTCGTCAACAATAAAACGAAATATTTTATAAAACACCACTCTGACTCTTTTCATTAACAAAAAAACAACATTAGCCTAATGGCCATGTGGTTCAGGCAACGCGATTCTCTTCACTGCATATATTTATAACAAAATGAACATGATCTTTTTGTTCTCATTTTAAAAATATGAAACAATGATTTTTATTGACATATATCAAACAGAGACAGGGTTATGTCATTTTATTTTATTGCTCATATAATGAAGATAATATAAAAAAAAATGTTTTGTAGCCATAACGTTATGAAACCTCAAACTATGGAACAAACTATAGTTTAATTAGACCAAAGATAGACTTATACACAAGACGAATTATAAGGTTTATCCACTATAGAGAGATCAGAGCCGGCGGCAAACGTCAGAAGCACTAGCCGAGGATAAGCTGTTCCAGTCGGGGTTGATCTCGCTGAGTATCCGCTGAAGGCTTGGATGTCAGAACTCCGAGTCTGAAAACGTCTGATGCATTTTTCAGATAGGCACTATCTTTATAAATAAACTACAGATTTGAGATTTAAACAACCACATTCTCGCCTGAAACACTCTTAAAAGTACATTTCATGACTCAATAACAGTAGTATTTTGATATTTCACGGATTTTCTCCTCTCCTATTGACGCTTTTTGGTTGGTGCGAGGTGCATTCTGGGTTACCAGGCTATCTCAAGTCCACACAAGTCACCTCTCGATGCATCCTCTGTAAACGGGGCGGATCAAGAACACATCCGGGGATTTGAAGTGGACTTGGCTAGATGTGAACTTTGAATTGGAACAGTACTTCGGCAGCGACTGATGACGTTTCACAAGTCCACAAGAACACAAGTACAGACAAGTACGGATATTGAGAAACGGCTAAGGAGCTGGCTGAAGTTCAGGAAGTAGTGCAGCTGGGCATAAAGCGAATTGCAATACAAATGTGAATCAATTTTTGTGCACACCCCTAATATTAAGTGTCCCCAATTAAGAAAGACAGAGGCAACACTGGCAAGAACCTAAACTCTATCAGGTGACATAAATAGAGAAAATATACTATAGATATAACAGCTTTACACAAATATTTTTTCAAACATGTTTCATTTTGTCTTGGAAATTTGTCACTGTATAAAAAACACTATTGTTGAGGAAATTGTAGTTTTTAAAGGTAAATGTTAGTTTAACTCAGCCTCTTTGCTGTATATGCTGTTTATGTATTAAATAAGTGGAAAATTTCATTCATATTAGTATATAGAAAATGTATTGTATGTGTACAATCTAATTCTGTGTTGTGACTTTATTGTAGGTTAAATGATTGTAACTTAACAGACAAAAGCTGTTCATCTCTGGCTGCAGTTCTTGGATCAGACACCAATCTGAAAGAGCTGAACATGAACAATAATAAACTGCGGGATTCAGGAGTGAAGCTGCTCTGCACTGGACTGAAGAATATAAAGTGTAAATTGGAGATACTGAGGTAAGTTGAGCCACAGGAGTCACATGACTAGAGTGAGGTGCAATGACTGACAGGACGAAAAGCGCAAGATAACTTTTGTGAAAAAGATCTTTTATTTATTTGTTACAACGTGGGTATACCATATTAATCCTGTCATTGTGCTATTTTATTGTTGTTGTGTATAAAGGATTATTATGCTCTTAGGGCTAATTAATACCCGGTGGCAACCACCAAAGATTGTCAGATCAGAACAGTAAAGGATGTCCGTTTAGGAGGAGCCAGATGCACACACCACTCACAGACCACCAGGGCTGGATTAACCATTAGGGCAACTGGGCTCTTGCCTCAGGGGCCCATGACATCTAAGGGGCCCTGGGCACCAGGGGCGGAGTGGCAATCGGGAGAGGTGGGAGTTTCCCCTGTGGGCCGGTTGTGTTTCGAGGCCGCGAGGGCCGATCTGATCAAATTTATTTATTGCAAGTTGGCCATGCGCACTTGGGGCTCAAGGGGGGGGAATTTTTTTTGCACTAAGTGTCTGTCTTTTTAGCAAAAGAAGCTTGTCACGAAATAGCTACGGTGGCGCAGGTCGTAGGGCTTGAAGCTTTTGATGCTCTCGACCCGAGTTCGAAACCGTCTTTTTCTGAACTCTCTCTTCTCCCTTTTCCCAACACATATGAGATGTAAAATGTATACCCTAACATAAAGGTCTCTAGCGCTATATTTTGCCAACAAACTAAAATCGAAACCATGATATGGCTTTGTGCCTTTATAAAACAGCACAAGACTTTAAAGGGTTAGTTCACCCAAAAATGAAAATTAAGTCTTTAATTACTCACCCCCATCCTGTACCAACCCTGTAAGACCTTCGTTCATCTTCGGAACACAAATGAAGATATTTTTGATTGAATCTGAGAGCTGGATCACTCCTTCATAGACTGCCTAAGGGACTGGCTCTTGACGGCCCATAAAGTCATTAAAGAAAATGTTTAAATATTCCATGTGCCTACAGCGGCTCAATTATAAGTTTATCAAGCGACGAGACTACTTTTTCTGCGGAAAAAACATAAATAACGACTTTATTCGACTATTCCATTACTTCCTTATGGGCACATGCGCGAGAACTGAGACGAGGACGTTCTCCTTCCACTACTTCTTGTTACCGGCTGCTCACGCCCCCACCAGGGGAGAAAAACAATCCAACCGTGTCCATTGATTTGCATTGCGAGAGGCTGCCTCCTTGTCATTTATGACTTATAACAAAAAACAAAACAATGTTTAAAAGCTGTTGTGAGACAAGGAGTACAGCAAACAAGCCAAATAACCCAGAAATTGTTTTTTTTAAGCTGATGGCTACTACTCTGAGCACGCCCATAATTCATAATTTAACCTGAATGTATTTTATCTGAAATTCTGTACGTTGATTTATTTTATTTTTTTGTATCTGAATTTGTGAGCATTGAAAATTATTCATCGAAATTCAGGTTTTTAAAATGGAATTTTTAATAGGCCTGTTTAAAGGTGCAGTGTGGGATTTTTAGTGACATCTAGCGGTTCGGTTGCGAGTTTGCACTAAGGGCTTAGCCCACTGCTCACCCCTCCCTTTCGAAGAAGCTACGGTTGCTAAAACGGGACAAACTTCTCGTCGTCTGAGACAGCAGAGAACAGCCAGAGTAAGACAAGAGTGTGTAACATTGTCATTGTTTCTGTACCACAATCCATAATAAACCACATCATGGATACAGTTTACAAAGCCATAGTCAGGTGAGGATCAAGGGTTTTAATATATAATTTAATATAATAATAGTGATCAGCTGATTGTCTCACAAACGTAACCAGCAGCACATTTCTCCCCACATAGCAAACCCATAATACAGCGAGGGAGAACTAAGTTATGAAACAATGCCAACTACATATTTTACACTACTCAAGGGAAAAGTCACTACTCACAGAGTTTATGGCTAGTTTCTAGCTTTCTGCTAATACTACTACTGCTGCTTCTCTTTCAAGGTAGTGGCGAAACGCGTTCTGTAGCACTGTTTGTTCACGTTCGGCTACGGTAGAAAGATGACGTCACGATATGGCGACCTTCATAGAAGGGGATTCCCGCAGTTATGGAAATATAAATGTCTCATTCTAAGATAATAAAAACATTACGGTTTATTAAGTAAGTTCTTTATACACCACTGAAAACATAGTTATGGATGTCATATTGCATTTCTGTTACAGTTTTTCTCAATTGTTTACACACAAATTCTGGTACTTGAGACACAATGACCACAACATGTAACTCATTCACCAACCCACTGAACCAATTCTGATGAACTACAAGCACAATTCCTGCTTTACACTCAAATTGCAGCTCTAAAACACACTTTTTTCAAAACACTACACACACATTCTCTGCATTTGGCACAATTTTCATGCAGAAAATCTCTTCTTTTCATGAGGAACACACTACCATTCAAATATTCACACTGACTCGTCACATGGACAAACACACGTCACACAGTTTTACAATTAGCAATCAGAGCTTTAGCATAAAATACAAAAACCGAAGAGAGGATGCAGCATAGATTTTTACTGTAACAGCATAAACATTTTCTGTTGTCTATTCATATAATGGTTTGTGTGTGTCATTTGAAAATAAAATAACATTTTGAGCAATATATAACATTGTTTTGAATGTAAAGTTTCATTTTGCACTAGAATTGAGGGGTTTTGCCGATTGTGTGAGTGTTTTTAGATTTGTGTGTAGAGTTCTGAGAGTATGAGGCATACTTGCAGGAAATGTGTGTAAACAATCGAGAAAAACTGTAATAGATACTCAACTTTTTGACATTGCACCTTTAAATTTCAGAGGTAAATACGAAACAAATAAATTCAGACGCATGGTTTCCAAAGTAAGATAATTTATAAGGGCTGAATTCCGAGCAAATAAATTCAGACAAATGTTTTTCAAAATAAAATTGAATACAAAACTAGTATTCAAAACTAGTAAAAGTATTCAGTGGCTGTTAAATTTCAAATAGTTATGTCTCTCATTTGCTTCCATACTTTTACATTACTGTATAACAATCGTGGGATAAGAGGCAAAGATAATCATTAGTGTGTGTGTGTGTGTGTGTGAGAGAGAGAGTGTGTGTGTTAGTGTGAGAGAGTGTGTTAGTGTGTGTGTGTGTGTGAGAGAGAGACTGTTTTTGACACTTAAAGCAATTTATTCCATCATTAAAGTTTAAAAAAAAAAAAAAATTCCGTCATAGTGACTATAACAAACAATTCACTCTGTCTCAGTGTATAACAGTTGTTTTACTATCAATGCCAACGGCAAGAGAATTTAGTTTTGCTGTGGACAAATCAAAAATAAGTCTCATAAGACACTTGAGTAAAGGCTCGTGTGTTTTGTGTCTTAATCAATCTTTCCCACACACATATAAATTATAACTCATACTCATCGCTCTGTCCATTTCAGCAAATGACGTTTTGTGAAGGCCTCTCCTGTTGCTTTGTTTCAACATGCGCGTGCACCCCCTGCTGGTAAAGCCGTCTAACAGCAGATAGAGAGTATGCTCAGTAATCTACTGCTTTTCCTGCAGTTTCTGGACGTCACCGTTGAATTTACTGTCGAATTTGAACCACTGAATTTGTGGAAGCGAATTTTCAAGGCGAAATCAAATGGACCGAAAATTGCCTGTTGAATATTATAGGTTGTATTTTTAAACAGTTTGAAAATTTTGGAAGTGAAATATGAAAGGTGAATATGGATTATTGCATTTTTAATAATGAAAAATGTTTTTAATTGAAATATTCACAGCTTAAATATTCAACCATGTTCAATTTCAGCCCATAAAAATGTAAGCCTTAAAAATACAATGGATTAAAATGCAAGCAGGGTTAACACAATGCTTTTTTTTTGTGAATTGGTGCAATTCAACATGCTTTTTGTTTCAAAAACATTAGACATTATTTTACTTCCATACACTTCCACCTCACATTCAGCCAATCACACGCTCCGAAGGCACACTTCTACCTCAGATATTGTATATCATGCATACAAGAATCAAAAGTTTAAACTAAAACACTCAATATTAATTTATTCACTCAATATATCAGTATATATTTATACTCAATATCTCACAGAGTCTAATTTCACAATAAATTTCTGCAAACATTTTCACTTTAGTATTTTGTGATCTGATGAAGATGATGTGACTTTATAGAATAAAGAGTCTCTTATTTTCTTCATTCTCTCTCTCTCTCTCTCTCTCTCTCTCTCTCTCTCTCTCACTCTCACTTCCGGTGCACGCTGGGAGCGTTTGGGTGTGTGGGGGGTTTCGTTAGGGGAGAGGGTGACTGGTATTTACTTTTTCCTTATTTTCATCTTAAATTTGGGGTATAACGGTTGATTTTGAAAGTAGGTCAAGTTGAGAAAAGTTTTTTTTTCCGGGACGGTGTTGGGATGGCGTCGTTACCGAATGGGGGAGAGCCACCGCCACCGGTGTCTCTGCGTAATGGAGTCAGGTGTGTTCCTGCGCCAGGTGTGGAGGTGGAGGATGTGCTAGTCGCGGTTGGAGAGCAGATCGGGTTTGAAAACATTTTTTCGGCTTCGAGGATGAACAAGGCTGTTGTGATTTTTGTAAAGGAGGAAGAGATAGTTAATCGTCTCGTTATCAACGGAATTGTGGTAAGTGGCGATTTCATTAATGTTTCACCGCTGGTTACGCCGACGACGCGCATAACAATATCAAACGTGCCCCCGTTCATTAATAATGATGAGATTGAGCGGGGATTAGTTCGTTATGGGAAGTTTGCTAGCGCAATTAAAATGGTTCCACTTCGCTGTAAAAATGCTGCATTAAAGCATGTCATGTCGTTCAGGAGACAGGTGTTCATGTTTCTGAATGAGCCAGAATTAGACATTTCTTTTAGAGTATGGCATGAAGGTAAGGCATACATGATCTATGCAAACTCTGGAAGCATGAAGTGTTTTGAGTGTGGGGATGTGGGCCACAAAAGGATGGCGT